TTATTATTAAATTTCTATAAACTAACATATAGTATTGATGACTAGAATGTTATGTGTCTCTTATTTTCTTTCAAATACTTCAGTATAACAAGTGAGACAGAAAACAAACTAAACATAAGTTTCAGACCAGAGCAGCTCTGTCCTGATAGAGGAGCTGCTTCCTGCCTTCCGCAGTCATGGGCACGCCGTCAGCAGTCTGTTTAAAGGAGGCCAACTGCGATTCAGTCTTCCAAACCAGGGAGACAAATGCTCCCCCAGCAGTGATAATCTTAGAGGGACCTTAGTCGGGGGAGGGCACAGGGGGAGGTTTCCAACGTTGGATCTTTTCTCATGTTGTCTTCCACCTGCTGCTCTGTTGTCTTATCACTGCAAAGGTGACAAGAGACAATGACCAGCTCACCATTCCCTGTAACACATCAGGGATCTCCTGGTGATGGATGATCAGAGGCTTGCCATTGGTTAAAGAAAAATTATACATCTCTCTGCCTGGCATCACAAAGACACCTGAAAACCACAATCGTCATGTTGCTGACTGATCCAGCAATGTTTTCTCAGTTTCTGCTGTCTTTTTATCAGCCCACAAGACAGGTGGGAAATGGTTCTTCAGCAGCAAAAAACTCGGGAAATATTTTATGACCATGTATGCTGCTGTGATGAGAATCCTGCAAACCCTGCAGTGTGTTAAAAGGCGCAGAAATGGTGTCCCGTTCTTGGTCCTCTGCCCGGCTCCATAGCGCCACACTCTGTCAGAGCCAGTGAGCTGCATCTTACCTTCCCCAGCCCTCCTGAGAGCCGTTCTGGAGTCACACGCAGGTGGTCAGCACTAGTGCTCTGCAACAGCATGGGCCCCTTATTAGTAAGCCAGAATGGAGAAAAACTTAGCATCACCTGACCACAAGGGAATTCCGATTTTATTTTTCAAAAAGTTGTTCCCATCTCAGTTTCCTCCAGGAAGGACATGGAACTGCTTCAGGATGAGCATAATGATTCCCATTGCCGGAATATTCGGAATACCTTCCTCGACTTCTCAGAGAAACTCAAGGAGTCAGCTTCAGCAGGCTGCTTGGACTGAGTGTGGGCCAGCAGTGTGGTCAACACAGCCTTCCAGCCAGGCTCGCCCACGGGGCCACCATCCACTCCGCCTTTCTCTCCAGTTTCCTTACTGGGTGTGACATTCACCCAGGGACACCAATCTCTGTGCTGAGAGGTGGGATCAAAGAAGCTTCAGGAAGGTGTGTCCGAGCTGCTGGAGGAGCAGAGACGGGCTCGTTTGGCTTTCCGCAGAGGGCTAGAGGGCACGTCCAGGCCAGGAGGGTCTCCGGTCCCCATGCTTCGGGTCACTGGGCGGGTCCTGGTGGTGGGACTAGCAGCTTCTGGTTCAGGACGGTCAACAGGACTGGAAGAGTCCCAGCTCCGAGTACGGGAGATGATGGGACCTGGGCTCTTTTCAGCCTGCTCGGAGCCTGGGGAACACGTGGCATCCTGGCTGCGGGTCATCATCCTCCGAGGAGACTCAGGAACCAGAGGGAAGCGCTCTGGCCGTCTCTCAGAACCTGGGACAGGAGAGCTGCTGAGGCCAAAAGACGAGTCCAGGTCTGTCATGGACGACTCAATCTGCTGGAAGCCCCAGAGCCCCACCTTCCGCATACATTGAGAGCACGTCAACAGGGAAAGCTGCATTGGTTCCAAGGAGGAACTACACGCCCAGCCACACACCGAGAGAATACAGGCTGTGACGTGGACTTGAATGTCAGAGCCAAATTTGGTTGTAGTTTTCTTCTCATCAGTTCGGTGATCAAGTTCTTCTTCAAGCAGGTGTAGGAGAAGACTGATCTTGTCTTCCGTGAAACACATAGATTTCAAGTCCTCTGGCCTCAGGGAAGGAAGCTGGAGGTCCAAGTGACAAAGGCTTTGGAAACGACCTAGAACTTCACTAAGAACAACAGTAGGTTCATCCAATGGCAACATCCCAAATCGATCTGGAGAGGGGCTGTCTGGCCAGAAACAGAACTTCTCGTGGGCAGTACACAAGGCTTGCTTCAGCTCAGCACATCGTTCCTTATATCTGTCAAAGTCAAATGTCAGCTGTAAACTGGCACAGAGAAAAGCCTGGCAGCTGGAGCACTTGAGCATGTCACACTCAACTGTGACCCAGCCATACTTTGCACAGACAAGTGGAGACAGCTCCAAGGGCTCCCCGGCCCACTTCAGGGAGGAAAATGTTTCCACTCTGCTGAAATAGGCCTCTTTGCTTGTAGATTCCAATGGAGGTTGCTCTGCTTGGGGTGATCCATTCACTGACTGGAGTGTGGCGGATATTTCCTTCCTGAAGTAGGGTGGCAGAACAGTTAGCAAAATTTTTGTCTTACTGCTCTCCCTAAAGATTCTGTATCCAGCTTCTCCCCACATCATATAATTGATCACATCAATACTGGATTTTAACCTTCCTTAACATCTTCTCAATTACACTACTCTTCAGATTGTTTCAGTGGTTTTATGTATTTGCTACACAAAGTCTGACGGTACAGGAGGATATTGCGCCTCCTTCTCCGGCAGAGCATCTGGTGGATTCGAACCCGTGCGCCTCTGGGATTGTAGTTGCAGCTCCTTGCCACTAGGCCACCAGAGCTCGCCTCCTTTAGTTTCTTTCTAACTGCATTTCAAGTTAACTATCTTCCTTTACACCTTTAAAAACAGTATTCTGAGAATGGGATCCTTGGCACACGAACAGTAAAGAACCCCACACAGGAGCAGTTCGGTGAGCACATTCATTCAGCTGGCGATTTGTTTCTTCCTCTCCCCCGTATAACTGTCTACGGCAAAATTCCACCCGGGATGCGAAATCGGAGACATCTCCCGTGTGGAGAAGCGTGTAACTAAGCTTAGTAAACCCCGGCCTCGCTCGGAAGCCGCGAAGACGCCATCCCCGGCCCGCGGCGCGGACCAAGGGGGCCGCTGCAGGCCTGCGTTCCCGATGCCTCCACCTCCGACAGCCCCGCGAGTAACCGGCGAACTCACGCGTCGGCGCCGCCTTCTTCCGCTGCAATCCCTTCGTCTATCAGCTGTCGAACTTTCTGCGGGGTCCCTTCAGGGGAGCGAACGACTGTCCCCCAAGTCTTTTCAAGCCCGGCCACAAGCGAGGGAGGGTCGGCGGGCGCCGCCATCTTGGTCCGTCGCCGAGAGTCTTCCCCGCGGGAGTGAGCGCCACGGCGCTTCCGTTCCGGCGGATGGTGAGACTCTGTGACGTCTTGGGGCATGTTGTCGGGGGGACCAGTCCCTGGAGAAGGGGATCACGCTTGGTCAGGCAGAGGTCAGCAGAAGAGAGGAAGACTTTCAAGGAGACACACTGGCACCGTGATTGCAACAGTGAGCGGAGGCGGTTATGAGGACGATATGGGACTGGGCACGGCTTCGCTCCAGGCTGTATGAGGTTTCTGAGATGGAGTGAGCCCTGGTCACCGAGTGGTAAGCAACTGCTCTTCCCACCCGAAGGCACATGGTTTGAATCCACCAGTTGCTCCTCAGGAGAAAGACAGGTGACCCCCTCCTCCCCGAAGTTGTTCACACTCAACGGCACACAATAGCAGGTACAGGAGTTGAGGTTCACCTGGCACCCCCAAGTCTGTGCAGCTCTTATACTCTGGCATTTCTTTCTTTGGGTTTCTGGACTCAATTTTCAGTCTCTCCTGACATCTATTTTGGTCTTTTGCTCTCTTCACAATATTCTTGGTATTACCTCACAACTCATCTGGTCTCTGATCATTAGTGAATCAAGAATATCAAAGGGTGTCAGAGACGGTGAGCATGGCACAGGATAGGGCTGGGTTCAAGCCTGCTGGTTGCAGGGTGACTGAGTCCTACTCGACTTGCTGGCTTCGAACAGCTACAATGTTTGACTCTAGGGAAAAATTTCCCCTGACACTAGCTGGGTCGAAAGCCAGTTTCCCAGAGGAGGGACCTCTGCTCCAGACTGTCACTGATGTCCTGCTGGAGTGTCTTCTAGAAGGATTTCAGAATCAAGACCACCAGGAACACTAAGCCATGGTTTGTGGATTTGAACTTGTTGGCCCCACAAGCACATCAGGTGATGTCTTAGAAAGAAATCTGAATGCGTACGTGTATTTGGGCTTGAACTTACACTGTCAGGTCTGCTTCTCTCATGTCCCACCTCACTCTGACCGTAAAGTTCCTCAGGTGACAGGAGAGTGATGCTGCAGTGGACACGGGGCTGCCTGTCCATCCAGCCCACCTCTCCCAGGGGAGTTGTCACTATGGCAGCTGGTCCCACACTCTGGCCACAGCTGATTGGCCCAGGGACAAGCACTGACCCCACTGAGGAGTCTGGAATTAGGACAGCGCCTGGCCTTCAAATCCATCAGCTCTGTGGGATGAAGACAAGGCAGACCCATTCCCGTGAGGACTGTGGCCTTCATGCCCCACGGGATAGCTCTGCTCCGCACTTAGAGGGGCCCGAAGGAGCTTGATGGTGGAGGATGTTGTGCCAAGGCCATGTGTGCCCCAGCGGTGATGGGACTCCGCCTGCCCTTAGCCTGAGAAGCAGTAACAGTGGTGATGCCAGCTGTCCAGGCGGCACTGCGGCAGGGAGCAGCCTGCCCCGGGTATAGGGGTCTGTTTCCTGCAGCCGTGGGCCCTGGTCCAGTGAACAGTCCACTCTGGGCCTGGGACCTTAATGCTCCTTTCCTCCTCCCTCTGGGGTTTGGCCTCGTATCCCATGTCCAGGCCCCTGGAGTGGCATGAATGCTCTGTTCCCAGCATCACTGCAGACTCCACCTCCATCCTCATCCTCACGTGGCCAGCACTGCCTCTTGGTCTCTTCTGAGGATATTCATCTCAGGATTGAGATTCCCCCTACTCCAAGAATGGACCCTGGGCTGCAGTCTACCCTCCACAACTTCCAAGATCAGCAGTCTGAACCTTCCCGGAAGCACTGAGGAAGAAAGGACTGGCAACCTGCTTCTGTAAAGATGACCGTTCATTTCTTTTTAGGGGACCTGGTGCTCACCCCCAGCCCCACAAACTCCCATAGCCCCGGTGGACACAGGCAAGGAAACGAGAACCACAGGGCTTTGAAACCATCGCCTTTAATGCGTCTTACAGGACAACTACATCGGCCTATTCGCGACAAACACGTCCTCTACCGTCACTATCCACACTGCACGGTCCTCTCGGTCAGGAAACTAACAAGCCTCGGGACAGGCGGGCAGCTACCCTTCTGGATCCAGCCTTTCATATTCTCCCATGACATTAAAAAAAGAAAAATTGTTAATCCATCTGGGAAGAAGACAGACAGACAGGGACCTAAGACACGGGCGTGGGGAGTGGCATGGGGTGCACACCCGGCCTGGTTACACGGGCACCGACACGCAAGACGCACAGCTCACGCCGCTCGCTTTGTTCACCAATAAAAGAATATAAAAATCTTGTTCAACCCAGTGTTGAGTGTATTAAAATAGATCTGTATCGCACAGCACAGTTTCTTCCGGAATTGTGGAACAACAGGTGGGGCTGTGGCTGCCTCCTGGTCCTGCACCCCCCGTCGGTGTGCGTGTGGCCGTGTGCAACCCACACACACGTGTTTGAAGCGCTCGGCAGTGCTACGCTGGCGGGGAGCCCCGGCTCTGCACGCTGGTCCGATTGTGCTAAGGTCCCGGAACCGGGAGGCTGCTGGGGGGTGAGCCAGGCACAGCCCCTCCTGGGATGCAGAAGGTCTTCAAAGTGGCTGTGCGGTCCCTCGGGGGCCAACTGGAAGTGGGGTTCAGGGATCCCCAAAGGCCAAATGCCCCAGAGCAACAGCCCTTTTCCCCTCCCCCGTCCTCTACCTAGTTCTCTTAAAAAAAATACAAACAGAACACTACCTGGATTGCTCCAGGGATAGTCCTCCAGAGGAGAGGCACCCCGTCTGTACCTTGAAGCAGGAAATTTCTATAAGCAGAAGGGGTGGGGGAGTCAGCGAGTGCCCCCCTTCACATTAAATATCTTACAATAAAAACGCCATACAAAAGTGTAAGGTTATTTTTGGCATAGTGTCTGTACTGGCAAGAAAAGGAGTGATACTGAAGGGCTCTGGGGAGGGGCAGCCGAGGACCCCCGGGAAGCCTGCTGCCCCCCCCACTCCTCCCTGTGGCTCCAGAGCCCAGCGCCTCCAGGAGGAGAATTACAGTGACAGCAGGAGGGGGAGGTGCCTGGTGCGCTCCAGGACCCGGGGTGCAGGCCTGGACGGGAGGGAACACTGTGCGCCTCTTGGCACACATGACTCAAGTCTTTCAAGTGAAACAGCTGCATTTCTGCACCCCGATAATACTGAGAGAGGGCCCAGGGTCCAGCACGGTGCGGCGGCGGGGGGTGGGGAGGGTGCCAGGCCTGGACGCCAGGAGGCCCCCGTGAGTGTGGCCCTGAGCGGAAGGGTGGAGGCTGGGCACTACCTAGATTGCTACTCATTTCTCATCCCAATGGCATGAAACCAAACTAGCTCTACTACTCGGCTATGTCTCTGTCTTCTGGTCTCCCTGGGGCAGGACTCCCAGACTCATTGCCTTGGGGCCCTCCCAGTGTTCCCCACAACCTCTGCCCCTCTAAGAGGCTGCAGAGAGCTGAGGACTGGAAGCTGCTGGCCTGGAGCAGCTGTGGCCAGTGAGTCCTGGGTCCACCTCAACTCCCATCCCTCTGTCTCTCTCTGGTTTACTGTCTGAAGGTCATAATGTTATGAATTAAGGCCGACAGAACCCAAGCACGTAAGCCGGGTCCCAGAACTTCTTGCGGGTGTGAAGCCAGGTCCCCAGGGTCAGTTGTGCCCCTGGGGGTGCTGGAGGGCAGAGTGCATGGCTGCTGCAGGGGGCTTCGTCCAGGAGCCGGCCAGCAGTGGGGCAGGGCTGGTGGTCGTCATGGTGACCTGGAACATCTGCTCGCCCTGGATCAGTCTCAGCAGAGCCCGGAGGCGTTCCAGGGACGACTGGGTGCCCCGCTGCCGGGCCAGCAGGTTGGTCTTCAGCTCCAGGCATCTCTGTGGGGGACAGGCAGAGAGAGATCTCAGAGCACAGCAGAGAGCAGCGGCTGGGGACCCAAGGCCCCACCTTTCTATCACCGAGGCCCAGAGATCCTCCCAAAAATCAGAGTCAGGCGGCAGCCAGGCCTGTGGGAGATGTGGCAGGACTCAGGACCAGCTTGGTGGGCATCACGGCTCAGTGTGCCACTGTGGCCACCGCCTCTGCCCTGCAGACCAGGAGCTCAGAGGCAGGTGAGGCTCAGCCTGCAGCCGAGGGAGAGGTCAGGATGCGGCAGGTCTCCACACGGCCTCGCCTCAGTGCTGCTGGTTCTCTGTGACGGCGGCCACGTGAACGGTCAGGACTGACGACTGCCACACTCGGAGTTACAAACCCGCACAGAGCTGCTCGATGGCTGCCAGAGAGGGTCAGACGAGATACTGAATTTAAAGAGCTTTGCCAGGGTCACGCACTGCTGTTACCATCATCACCACCACCACCACTGACTTCACCACTACTGTGTTCCCCCCATTCCACCATTACTATCACATCACTACCATTATCACTGCCACCACATCACACTATGCCACAAAACACCATCACTGCCATGGTAACATCACCATCACAACTACCATCAACATCATCACCATCACTGTCACCACATCACACTACGCCACAAATACCATCACTGCCATGATCATACCATCACCGTCACCACAACTACCATCAACATCATCACCATCACTGTCACCATAGCTACCATCACCACAATTACCATCAACATCACCACCATCACTGTCACCATAGCTACCATCACAATTACCATCAACATCACCCCCACCACCATCAACATCACCACCACCACCATCACAACTACCATCAACATCACAATCACTTTCACTACAACTACCATCAACAGCATTACCGTCACCATAACTGCCATCAACATCATCACCATCACCACCATTGTCAACACCACAACTACCATCAATATCATCACCATCAGTGACCACAACTACCATCACCATCACAATTACCATCACCATAACTACCATCAACATCACCATCACTGTCACAACTATCATCATTGCCATCACTGTCACCATCATTACCGTCACTGTCACCACCATCACCATAACTACCATCACCATCATTGTCACCACCACAATTACCATCATCATAATCACCACTACTATCCTGTCACCGCCAGCA